ATTTAACTTCCATCTACCTCAGTTTCCTCGGCAGTAAAATGGGTACAATGATAGCACCTACTTCCCAGAATTGTTGTGAGGATGAAATGAGATAATATTCGTAAAGTTCTCAGTGCCTGGAACACATCAGGTGCTTAATAAATGCTCACTTCCTTCCTTCATTTTATGTACCTGTAAGCACCTAGCACAGTGTTCTGTGCTAAGTAGGCAGACAGCCAACTCGTTCAGGGAGTCCCAATGACTCTATGGTGTTTTTTTTTTATCTCTAATAATATTGGTATAAACCTGCATTTTACTTGGCAAAGAACCTCAGAAAAATCAGTTGCTACAGGATTAAATAATTTATATATATTTGGAGAACCTCTCAGCTTACTAGACCCTCTATCCCTGCCTGATAGAAATGCGATGTGACAAATGATACCTGTTGGTCTTGATTGGGTGTGGCCATCAGAAGCTGCTCAGATGCAGAAGACAGGAGGGCCAAAATGGGTAAAAGAATAGAATAATTAAATAACAAGCATCACACAATTTTTCTAATAAAAATGGTTTCTATTAAATCACCAGGGTTGATAGTAGTAATAATAGTCAATGACTAAGTTAGTTCAGAAGTATATGAGTGAACAACTTCTGTAAGTTTTAGTACTCAGGACAAACAACAAGACAAATTCAGTTGGCGGCTGTTGGGAGTGAATGTAGAAAGCTCACATCTCAGGACGCCAGACTGTAGGGGATAGACCTAAGGACCCCATAAAAATAGAGGAAAGACAGCGGTGTAGGGCTAATCCACGGATGGGATGTGTCTGCTTGATTTGGCTAGAGGGAAGAAATGTAATTTCCTATTCTAACTAATTATTCTTGCCAGGTAGGTGCTAAGTTCAGTAGTTTCCACCTGCTAAAGGAGTACATAAGGAGCACATAATAACATTGTACATAGAGAAGCACATAATAGAAAAATGAAGCAAATGATGGTGATACACCCAATACTACCTTGTCAACTGTTCCCTGACAGTGGAAGCATTGACAGTGCCAACTGGAGCATACCTGAGCAGACAACACTGGCATCTTCATGGTGCCCACAGTTATGGGAAAACCAAGCATTGTGCATACACTGCCATACTTTGGCTTCGTTTCCAATACACTGCACATCATCCAGAATTATGGGTCCTGAACCTCCTGCAAAGTGGTTATGTCGTGGCGCAGACAGAGCTTGTCCACAGCCCATCTGTTGGCATACAACCTGGGCATCTGTCAGGTCCCAGCTGTCATCACACACTGTTCCCCAGGTGCCATTGTAGTACACCTCCACACGACCTTCACAGCTGTGACTTCCGTTCACCAATCTCAGGGACATATCTTAGAAACAAGATAAACAAACCGAATGACTTAGCTACCGGTAGGGCTTTTGCTAAAATTCCATTTCCTATCCCAGCTCTGTGGAACCATGGAAAAGGAGCTTCACATTTCTAGCTCTCAACTGCTCGTCTTAAAAAGAAGGGATTGGATTATAAATGAGCTTTCAGCTCATTTTTTTCCAGCAGTAAAACTATGATTCTCTGCTTCTCTGATTTCCTACTTAAGGGTGAAGCATGCTTTCAGCACCTGGATGCCAATGTTTTAGAATACTAAAAAAGCCAAATGTGGTATAATTATAATGAGCAATCTTGGCCCTAGACAATAGGTGAAGAAATGCACCTCTCCTTTTTTCACCGGAAAGGTAGGGGGTCAACAGATACAGAATGGTGCGTATGCATAGATGCATCACATATAACAACAATGTTGGTTGATTTTATGTTAATTTTTTCTTGGTTACAATGGAGGAATATCTAGTTATGTGCCTTGTGTAAATCAAATTCCGAACTGTGCCAACCAAGGGGCTGCTTCAGATCAAATTTCAAGTGTTATTATTTCTTAAAAACAAAGGAGTCAGCTTCATAGATACCTACCAGCTTCCTGTTCACCTTGCTGAACAGCATTATACATTGCATAGAAGCCAGTGTTGGTGATCATAGAGTCACTTCTGAACACAACTGTCATTTTGTTTGAAGATGAGAAAAATGTGAGCTCTGCCCCAGCACAGAATCTCCCCATGGACAGGTAGGCAGCCTGCCATCCATCAAAGACTTCAAGAAAGTCATAAGGGCATCCATAGATATCTTCCAGTCTGAGGAGGGAAATACATTGTCATCAGTTTCCCACCATTATGGTCTAAAGATCATTTCAAATTCATAAGAAAATAAAAGAACACTTAAAATGAATATTCTGGATTTTTAAATGGCCCTTTACCTTGAGAAACCTCGGGTCCCTAAATTCTTTTTTAAATATTAGGTTGAAATTCTTTGGTTCAAACTATTAATCAATCAACAAGTATTTAATGAGTGCCTGTTAATATGTCAAAGACAAAAAGGGAAATGGTCCCTGTACTCAAGGAGCTCTTATTGTATTGGTTCTCCCGGGAGAAACATCATGAGTAAGTCTCTAGATTCTGCTATGATCATCTACTCAGGCCTAGAGGAGAATGAATGGGTGACATGTAGCTCAGACAGCCTATTTAATCTGGAATCTCCCCCTTAGTTCAGCACCAAAGATAAACACCAAAAAAGTGTTTTCATTTAATGGTTTCATAGGAGTACAGTATAAATCACAGTCATCCACACCCACAAGCATTAATATAGTACAGCCCCTGTCCAGACAAAAGTAAAATACCCCTGCTTCCTCTTCCTCTAATAGCATTTTCTTTATCCATATATGTATCTATTTTTCTATCATCTATCAATCTATCATCTATTCACCTATCAATCTGTCATCAATTTTTATTATCTATCATCTATTTTCTATCATCTATCCATCATCTAGATTTCTATTATCTATCATTTTACTGTCCATCTGCCTGTCTGTCTGTGTATCTATTTGCCTATTTTTCTTTCATCTATCGATCTGTTCTTCTATCATCTATCAATCTATTTTTCTGTCATCTATCCATCATCTATCTTTCTTTTTTATTAATTTATTTTGATTTATCAATAATCATAAGCTTTTGAATTTTAAATTTTTCTCCCCTTCTCTCCTCCCTCCTTCCCCAAGATGGCACAATCTTCTGTAGGCTTTACATATACATTCCTATTAAACATATTTTCACATTAGTCATGTTGTAAGGAAGAATTAGAACCAGTAGGAGGAACCACCAGAAAGAAGAAACCAAACAAAACAGAAGAAAAAAACAGCAAATAGTATGCTTTGATCTGCATTCAAACTCCATAGTTCTTTCTTTGGATGTGGATAGCATTTTTCATCATGAGACTTTTGGAGATGGCTTAGATCCTTGCATTGCTGAGAAGGACTAAGTCTATCAAAATTAGTTGCACAACATAACTGTTACTGTTAACAACATTCTCCTGGTTTTGCTCACTTCACTCAGCATTAGTCCATACAAGTCTTTCGAGGTTTTTTCTGAAGTCTGACTGCTCATCATTTCTTATAGTACAATAGTATTCCATCACATTCATATACCACAACTAGCTCAGCCCTTCTCCAATTGATGGGCAGCCCTAGAAGTATTGCTGGGTCAAAGGGTATGCACATTTTTATAGCCCTTTGGGCATAGCTCCAAAATTGTTTTCCAAAATGGTTGGATCGTTTCACAACTCTACCAACAATGCATTAGTGTTCCAATTTTCTCACATCTTCTCCAACATTTATCATTTTTCTGTTTTGTCATGTTGGCCAATCTGATAGGTGTGATGTGGTACCTCAGAGTTGTTTTGATTTGCATTTCTCTAATCAATAGTGATTTAGAGCATTTTTTCATATGACTATAGATGGCTTTAATTTCTTCATCTGAGAACTGCCTTCATATCCTTTGACCATTTATCAATTGGGGAATGACTTGTATTCTTATAAATTTGCCTTAGTTCTCCATATATTTTAGAAATTAGGCCCTTATCAGAGACACTAATTGTGAAAATTCTTTCCCAGTTTTCTCCTTCCCTCCTAATCTTGGTTGCATTGGCTTTGTTTGTGCAAAAACTTTTCAATTTAACATAATCAAAATTATCCATTTCGCATTTCATAATTTTCTCTATCTCCTGTTTTGTCATAAATTCTTCTGTTCTCCATAAATCTGACAGGTAAACTATTACTTGCTCTCCCAGTTCACTTGTAGTATCAGCCTTTTTATCTAAATCATGAACATCATCTATCTTCTATCTATTGTCTATCATCTGCCCATCTGCTTGTCTACCTTTGTATCTATCTATTTTTCTTCCGTCTATCAAGCTATTATCTATCTTTCTATACATCTATCTAACATCTATATCTATCTGTATGCTTCTGCCTGCTTCTTTTTTGTATATTAATTTACTGCATTTTGAAGGCAACTATTTCAAAAAGCAAATCACAGCCCAAAGACAGCAGCACTTGGGGACTAAATACAGATTGAAGGCACGGAATTGTGTCCAGGAAAGATGATAAGATCATACATTTAAGAGCTGTAAGGGATCTTAGTGGTCATCTAGTCTAACTGTCTCATTTGACAGATGAGGAAATTGAGATCCAGGCAGGTTACTGACATGTTCTAGGTCACTCAGGGAGTAATTGACAGATCCAAGAGTTGACTCAGGTCCTGTGACTCCAGCTTTAGCCTTTATTACACTACATTCAGCACTTCCTTATAACTGAAGATGTTTGGAAGCAAGTTGGAGAAAGGAAAGGAAGTTTACTGTGATAAAGTCTGGGAAGATAAAGTCAGAAGGAAAACTAAGTACTACTAGGAGATGGGGGTGAGAAACGAAAATGGAAAAGTTGTAAAGAGAAAAAAAAGTTAATTAGGTAAACTATGCAAAAATAAGGGCAAAATAATCTCCTTTTCTAGAACTTCTAGATAAAAGCCAACTGAAATTTTGAAAAAAAAATCTTTCTCATAGGAAAAATCCAGGTGTATTTAATAAAAGTATCGATTCTAGTATAATCTGGATATTGGAGGTGTGATGGTTTAGGTTGTTTACTTACTTCAGGCTGGGGACCTGAAGTTCTATGCGGAATTTCTCCTTCACATGTATGACCCACACACATTCTATATCTGTGGGATAGTGTTTAGGATACCGGGGGCTAGTAAATGAACCAAAAAGCTTTGAGATGTCTCCACCACAAGAGTTACTTCCTCCTACAAAAAGAGGAAAAAGGAAGTCAGGTTTTACTTTTACACACTTTTTATATTTTCACCACAAAGAATCCAAGGGAAAGTGGGATAGGTACATGTAACATTCATTCTACCTCATAGTTTGGGAACTGGCAAGTTGGGAAGATGGTTTAGTTATGAATCTTGGTATGCAAATCAAGGACAGATATAAAAAGCCTCTGTGTGTGTGTGTGTGTGTGTGTGTATGTGTAGGACAGAAATGGTTAGTCACAGAGATTGTACCCTAAAAATGGAAATGTTATGTTACCTTGATACTGGACTGACGTGCTCGTGAACTGAGATAGCATGTATGCCATAGTACTAGTTACCTTCTTCTCCACATTGAGTGTCCTTAATCCTTAGCCCTAGCAGACCAATCCTATACAGAATTATTCCACCCTCCCACACCTCCCCTCCACCTCCAGCCATGTAAAATTATCCCCTACCTGACCATCAACTTTAGATTTCATGACAGGGGGGTGATGCAAGGGAAGTTATTTTTCGGGGCATTTTAATTCACTCAGTCCTTTGCCCTCATAATTGCCAACTGAATTACTGTTGGAAGAAGAAAATCTACCCTGCTTTTAAGGATTATAGAAATAGTGAATTCAACTAATGACATTATAGGGAAGTGACAGACTTTCAAAAGGGGAGAATTACTTTTGGGCATAGTTGCTGGTAGAACTGGAAAAAAAAACAGGAAAAGTTTAGAAATTTTTCAAAATGCATTTAAATGCAAGTCAGAATCCTTATTACTATTGATTTCAATGTTTTGATGCCTTTGATGTTTTCCCAGTAGAGAAAGTCCTACTCCTGATTTATAAATGATTCAACCAAGTGAAGAAACTGCATCAAAAGACTGTCACAAAAGTCAATCATTATTGATTTCTGCTAAATTCCGAGATTTACTGATGCTATAGTTGCTTGTATATTTCCTTGATGGGTGAGAATTACATTGATTCTACAATCCCATCTGAAATTCAAGGGAAGGATAATACTTAAGTGGTTCTTTTTTATGACTAAAAATTAGCATTTATTAAAAACATAATCGATACATCCCCATTCCTCAGTGCCTGACTTGGTGCTCTGCACACAGTAGGTATTTAAAAATGTTTGCTGAGGATAACTAGGATTCTTACAGAGCTCTTGGCATACCTGGAGGTGTAGGAATCACACCTGGCATCAAATTTTCAGCATCTATTTATATAGAAAAAGAAAACAAAAAAATTAAGGAAAATTCTACTTGCACTTTAAAAATTAATAAGAAACTCTTGCTATGGTGACCATGCCTATAAGAACTGGACTTAGTATCTGTTGAACATTAATGCTTGTATTTCCAAGTCCTAAATCTTAAGCTCCAACAGGCAACTAGAGAAGTTCCATAGCCTAGCAGACAGTGTGCAGGATCTGAAGTTAGAAAGTTTTGAGTTCAAATAACATCTTAGATGCTCATTAATTTTGTGACCCTAGGCAAATCACTTAAGTACTCTCAACCTTTGTTTACTCGCTTAGATTGAAAATAACCACCTCACAGGATGGTTGTATCAAATGAAAAAATGTATACAAAATAGTAAGCACTATATATACATATGTATCTGTGTATATGTATATATATATATACACATACACGTATATGTGTATACACACACATATACATCTCTTTTTTTTCTCCTACATATACATATATGTATGTAAGCTATTATTATTACATAGAATTGTTTCTGTAAATCGGAACAACTGAATTTTATGGCCCTGGTCCAGTTTTCCTGTGAGATGGCTGCCTTTTTTTCCCCACCAAGATAGGCCACTGTTCTCTTGCTGTTTTCTGTTGTTATATCTTTGCAGCTATCAGTAGGATGTATCCAATTTGAATACTAGGGTCAGGAATGTTGAGAGAAGAATGTACACCTGAACAGATAACTCCAGCATCTTCATTATGACCACAGTTGTGCTGAGACCAGCCAGAGTGGGCACACTGTCCAAGATAGTTCTCATTTCCTGCACATTGTATGTTGTCCAAGAGAATGCTTCCTGAGCCCGGTCCAAAGTGAGCTTCCCCAGGGGCTGAAATGGCTTTTCCACACTTGAGCTGCCTGCATACCACTTCTCCTTCCTTCAGATCCCATAGGTCATCACACACCGTGCCCCAGGTACCCTGGTAATGAACCTCAACTCTTCCTGCACATCTCCCAGAACCACCAACAAGGCGCAGCTCCATTCCTTCATCTAAACACAGAGCAATTTTAACTGTGAACTTTTGAAATCTCACGTAATGAATGAATTACACTTAATAAAGCAGATCAGTGTAACACAAGAGATCTTCAATATCTTCCTATATTAAAATGCGTTTCCCCTATAAATACCAAAACATGGTTGTACCTCAATACTACTGTAGAAGTATATTTATTAGCAAATGTTGTTTCAGGGGTTGTTTTAGTCACTTAATAATTGGTATCCTTATTCCTTCAATGAGTATTTCTCTTTCATAGCTGAAAGATTCCAGTATAATTTGTATTCATTCATTCCCCAAATATTAGACAGTTGAGACAGAGGAGAAATATGGTTCAAAGAATAAAAACTTTGATTTCCATATTTATTCTGGTCCATATAAATGGTTGTATTGCCCAGTGAAGTCTCCTTAAAATACTTAATTGCCTACTGAGCAACAGTAAGATGGACTTCAGCAAATAAAATGGACTGCATTGTTTCCATTCTAATTTGATCCATGCTGGTTATGTAAACCTGGACTTATTTTTAACTTTGGTGAGAAACAGATGATATCATGTTATGTATTTATAAACATTTGTAAGGAAGGCCATCAGAATACTAGGTGGATCACCTGTGATGAGTTTATGGGAGAATTTGGATGAGAGTTATACAGCATGGGCTGGCATGGATGGCTTGCCATCTGAATCCCTGGGGGGAATAACACTAATAAGATCATGGGTCCATTGGTGTATTTCAGTATTTCTAAACATGCTTCCCAAGTTAATGATACCTTATGGCTCGAAAGAACTAGTGGTGCTCCAATCGGTATCTTATGTAGCTCTTCAACTGATAAAATGTATGCTTAATGTTCCATTCTGCTCACAGTTTAATAACAATGAAGGAACTGGTTCTTGCTTCCTCCGTGTCCATTTTTATGTATCATGGCTCACCCAAAACAGAAAAAAACTTTTGACTTGTCTGCTTTTATTGGTCATGAATGTGGCTCTAGGTGAACATCAGCCAGAATGTAGTTCAGTTACTAGGAGAACATGGATTTTACTAATGGGGGAGATATGGTTCCAGCACTCATCACTTGGAAGAGCTTTCACATAGTGGGTTTCTGTAGACTTGGAGCTATAGGAGGACTTGGCACGAATGGCATTTTCCTCAGGAAACAAGGTAGGAAACCATTTATATCCTCCTTCAGGTCACAAAGACTTATCCAAGTGGCCTGTGTCAACCTGCAATATCCTCTTTGTTGGTGAGCAGAAATAAAGGCAAGATGCCATTTGAGAATGAATCTCCAAGTTTTGCTGATAAGGAGGCTGTTAGATCAGATTGGATTTAAATGATGGGTTCTGGAAAACTGAGGACTTTCCACCCTGGATTTTCTTTTAAAAACAAAGCACTCAATTTAAATTACTTACCTGTTTCCTGCTCATTTTGCCTATCAGCATTGTACATCACATAAAAGCCTGTGTTGGTGATCATAGAGTCGCTTCTGAACACAACCGTCATGATGTTTGAAGAAGAGAAAAAGGTGAATGCCACAGATGAACAGAATCTCCCCACGGACAGAGAGGCCACTTGTGGCCCATCAAATATTTCAATGAAATCGTAAGGACAGCCATAGATGTCTTCCAATCTGAGAAGGTAACCAAAGGATTAGTCAGACCCACCTTGTAAAAACCTTCCAGATTTAAAGCAAAGCAGCAACATAGACAAAACACTCAAGATTATTTGAAGTGAAGATTTGGTTTGAGTTTAAAATCATATGTTTAAGATATATGGCATTAGCTACCTTTTAAAAACATCTTTTTGTGTTCAGGGCCTTTCACTTTCTTTGCCCAATGATCATAGTTACATTATTAAAACAAATCAAAAGCTTTCAGAGCAGAACTTTATCACCAGCTACACCATTTACCAATCACACAGCATCATAAAGGAATAATAATGTGCACTACATAATATTTTACAATAGTATTCTCAGACTTTCTATAGGGCAAATAATTAGGTACTGAAATTAAAATGACAGCAGGGGAAAAAGAGAGATGGAACTCATTTGCAATGTGGTGGCTGCTCTTGAGGAAATCATTTTGAAAGAATTGGTAATTGTCAGAAAGATGGGTTTTGAAAGTGAAAGTAAAGATTTATTATGTTATTTACTGTTTCATCATATTCATATGGGATAAGATGTAATTTTATTTTGAAAGAAATGAGAGGGAATAAGGTGTATCTTCTTTTCTCATTTCTTTAAAAAAATATTGATGAAAGAGATGGAACTTTGCTTTTGCAGGCTGAGTTCTCAAATGGTTAGTGTATATAGTTGTTACATATTAGGGGATACATTCTAAATCAGATACAACACACATCCAAATCACTGTAGGACATGCCAGAACATTATAAGATTCTACTGCAAAATGCAGTAGAGATATGGAGTGTTCTGTTCAAGGAATAGTATGGAGACCAGTGCCACTGGATCACAGAGTGGGGTGGGGAGGGATGTAAGGTATAAGAAGAATGGAAAGGTGGATGGGGTTGGGGCAGGTTATGAAGGGCTTTAATTTCAAATAGAGGATTTTACATTTGATCCTGGAAGCAATAGTTAGCCATTGGAGTTTATTGAATAGGGGTGTGATGTGATGTGGGGTGCATGCGCATGCATATGTGTGTGTGTGCATGCGCATGGGTGCGTGTGTGCGACAGAGAGAGAGAGAGAAAGAGAGAGAGAGAGACAGAACTAGACCTTCACTTTAGTAAGATTACTTTGGCAGCTAAGAGAATGAGAGGATAACGGACTGGAATGGGGAGATACCACCACCAGAGGGTGGTGGTGGTGTCAGAGGAGAAGAGGGGACATATAGAAGAGATGTTATGAAAGTGAAATGGACAAGTCTTGCCAACAGATTGGATATGAGGGCATGAGAGAAACAGAGGAGTTGAGGATGACACGTAGGTTGCCTGGCCTGGGTGACGGGGAGGATGGTAGTGCTCTTGACAGTAATAGGCAGGTTCAGAAGGGAAAGATGATGATTTGCCCCTTAGTTCAGGCCCTCCTCTCTCTTCATCTAGATCATTGCAATAGCCTTCTAATTGGTTTCCCTGCCTCAAATCTCTCCCTACTCCAGTCTATCCAAACATAGTTGTCAAAGTAACTTTCCTTAAGCATGGCTCTGATGATGTGATTCCCCTACTCAACTAACCTCAATTGGTTGTCTTCCTATTTCCTATATAATTAAAAAAACTTGTAGTCTCATCTATTAGAATGTAAACTCCTTGGTAGTAGGGAGTGTTTGATTTTTTAAAAATTTGTATCCTTAGTGACTTGAGTAGTGCCATTAAGCACACTTATGCACTTCATAAATACTTGGTTGATTGATAGGAAGAAAGCCTAAATAAAAGAAGACAAGTTATGATTGAGGAACTAACATAAGACCATTCAAAGGAGAAACTGTAGGGGACAATTACCTAAATGAAAGATGTTAGGAAGATGAGTTACTTATGTCTGGGTCAAATTTATTTAAACTGAATGAATTGTTTTTGATGATAATAAAACAAAAGGAGTATTCAATATTGATATACTGTGGAGTTTTATAATTTTGCTTTTTTCTGCCTAAATTTTTTTTTGTTTTTGTTTTTTCATTTTGTTTTGTTTTATTTTGGTGAGGCGATTGGGATTAAGTGACTTGCCCAAGGTCACACAGCTAGTAAGTGTCAAGTGTCTGGTCTGAGGCAGGATTTGAACTCAGGTCCTCCTGACTCTAGGCCTGATGCTCTATCCATTGCGCCACCTAGCTGCCCCTAAATATTTTCTTACTAAAAGAAAATATCTTTGCTAAAACTATGAGTTAAAAACCTAACCTAAATTTTGTGATTGTAAGCTGAAGAAGATCATTTTAAAGTTCTATTCTTAGTGTCAGATAGAAGAAAGAATTCTTGATCTTACAGAGTTTGCAGGTAGTTGGGAAATGGATATAAACACATTTAAAAAGTGCTAACACCAGGTAATAGAGGGTTATGCCAACTAAGAGGTATAGGTAGTAAATACTAGGGACATTTTGAGGATAGGATTACCCCAATGGGGGCTGATAAGAGAAGGGTTCATGGAGGAGGAAAGAAGTGAGATGAGTGTATAATAAATGCCTTTTAATTGACTGATGAAACAATGTAAAGACTGAACACTGATACAGGAGTCAGAAAACTTGGTCTGGTCTTGGCTCTGCAACTTATTAGCTGTATGTGAGTGACCTTGGGCAAGTCACTTCCCTATTCCGGGCTTCAGTTTCTTTTTCTGTAAAATGAAGAGGTTTATTATTTCTTGGGCCCTTCCCATCTCTAATCTTCTACAGATTTATGGAACAACATAAATCATTTACTTACTTCAAATCTGGAATCACGAGTTCAATATGGAATTTCCTATCTACGTGTATCTCCCAGACACATTGTATGTCTGTAGGATAATTTTCAGGATACCGAGGACTAGAAAAGGAGCCAGAAAGACTTGAAATGACACCACCACAAGAATTACTTTCTCCTAAAGGCAAAAGAAAGAAACGCAGCAATGTAGATTTACATCCACAGAATCCAAACCAGTCATGACTCATGGAAATTTTGCACTCATAGTTCTCTTCTCCCAAGAGAGTTTTAAGATGGCTTTTTATGACTCTCACTAAATCAGCCTAGAGGCAAAAAAATGTGCTGAATTTGATTCCTTGGAAGATGAGTCAGCAACAGTATGATGTCTTTTAATTCTTACCCCTTGCAGCACAGTTGAGCTACCTCAGCTGGGACAGATTCGATATTTTGGTCCCACCTGATTCATCTATACTTGGTTACTGTCCCCTGTACTGCTATCTCAGGAAACTTCTTCCACCTTCTTTAATTGAAAGAGTCAGCATTATAACAGGGATTCTTAGCCTTTTCGTGCCATGGACCTCTTTTGTTCCAGGAAGCCTGCAGAACCCTCCTTAGAATAATGTTTTTAAATGTATAAAATAAAATAGGTAGGATTACCCAAAAATGTCAATTATATTGAAATACAGTGATCCAACAAAACAAAATAAAAAGCAAGTTTACAGATCCCACCCTAAGAACCCTTGATATATAGAAACATTAATTCAACAAATACATATTAACTACCCGCACTGGGCTAGACAGTATAGGCAATGTAGAATTAATAAGACTTCCATTTTGAGGAGGGGCCCAGAGTAGCTATGCTTCACTCTCCAGACTTTGCTACTATCCTGCAGTCTTCTTGCCACCGCTGAGGGAGCTGCCTTATCCCTTTGTCCTTCAAGCCCCCTTCTCCCATTGATTCTTTCTACAGCCTCATTTTGACAAAGGTCCCAAACCAGCCATCTTTCATTCTCTGGACTTTGCCCCCATCCACCCATGCAGGTACCTCCCACATCCCATTTCACCTCCTCTTAATGTGTTATCTTCTGTCATTAGAATATATGGTCTTTGAGGTCAGGAAATGGTTTTCTTTTCACTTGTTTTTGTATCTCCAGTTCTTAATAGAGTGCCAGGCACATGGAAGTACTTAATAAATGTTTGTTGAGTGAACTTGACTTAGTCTCTGTCTTCAAGTAGTTTGTAATTGAATAGGTAGGATAAGACGTGTCTATGTATAGAGTATAACAAAACTTCCTCTGGAACAGGTGATGCTAGGTTTCATTCCTTTCACTTATTCTAGGTGCTTCAGGAAGCAGCCTCAGGTAACTGGCAAGAGGAAACACCATGGCTGAAGAGACAACTGGAAAAGGAGAATGGGGTATTCCTCCTGAGTCTTTACACCGGGGTGGGGAACCTGAGGCTTCAAGGTGACATGTGACCTCTCGGTCCTCAAGTGTGGCTCTTTGACTAGATCTCCTTAATAGAAGGATTTGTTCTGTAAAACTTGGAGATGGTCCAAAGGCCGCACCTAAGCACCTAGAAGACCACATGTGGCCTAATGGCGTCAGGTTCCCCACCACTGGCCTAGACCCTTTAGACTCAGTAGAAAATGCTAATCAAGCAGAATATACACCACAAACGTGCTTAGGAGAAGTAAATGAAATTGGCAATAAGATTATGTGGAACTGGAGAAAAAGGCTAAAATAAATGAATGAGTGGAAAGATGATTTAAATTCCTCTAAGAAATGACTTTTGTGTGAGTTTTGGAGTTGTATGAATCCTTCTTCAAAAACAGAGTGAGAGCAATGGAAGAACTCTGGTCTGGAGGCTATTTGTCATTTAAACACATTTCCAATGTTCTTCTGTGGTCCAGTGGTTAGCAAACTGATTCCCTGGGAAAGGGAACAAGTATCTACTGGAAGCTAAGGAGAATGGCAGAACCATGGAACTGAGAACAATAGGGAATAGAGCTGCATGGAGAAAAAGGAAAGGAACTCTATAAATGAAGAACAAAATGGAATATGATAAATCTACAAAAGGAACAGGAACAAGGTGTTTATGAAGGCTCATGGGAAGTAAAAATCAATTAGAGATCAAAGTAGGCCTTCCAAAGGAGATGGTATTTAGAATGGGTCTTGATGGATATATACAATTCCAACTGGAATGTGGAGGTGGGGGAGCACCTTCCAGGCATGGGAGACACTAGCAGAAAAGGGATGGAGGTGGGAAAAACACAAGATATGCTAGAGAAACAGCAAATTGTTCAGTTTGACTGGGACATAAAGTGAGACAGAATTGTGTGAAAGAAGACTGAAAGGTAACGAGGCATGATTTGTTCGCTCCCCCTGTGCTTAGAGACTGTGATGTGGATCAGTGAGAGTATAATTGAGATTTTTTTATCTGGCCTTATCCTGAATCATTGACCATCATGCTAGTTAGCAATAAAATCATAGGTGACCTCACTCACCTTTCTCTTAACAATTATAATTCTTCTACCATTCTATGGATTGCCACAAGACTCTCCCGCCTGAGAGGGGTCTCAAGACATATTCTAAAATCTAGATCACTGTGGATGGATTATTGATATCTCTGTTACCATCAAGGTAGTTTGAATTACATTCTTTCTGAAGTTTTAGATGAAAACAAAGATATACCTTCTGTATAATTTCTAGAAACTTCTGGAGAACCTAGAAAAAGAAGTAAGCAGATGAATAAGGGAAAACAAACAAACAAACAAACCCACTTCAGTCCATTTTCTACTTTCAACAAAGTGGTCTTCCTAAAGTATAGGTCTGACCATGTCACTGCCCCCACCCCACTCTCAGTCCCCATTCGATAAACTCTAATGGCTACCTTTAGGAACAAATATAAAATCCTCTATTTGGCTTTTTAAACTTTTTGTAACTTGCCCCTTTCTTTTCTTTACATCCTTCTTAGATTTACTGCTTGCCATTTACTATGCAATCTAATGGCACTGGCCTCTGCTATTTTTCATGCAGAACAATTCATCTCCCAGCTCTGAGTATTTTCATCAACTGTGCCCCATGCCTGGAATTTTCTTCCCCATCTCCATCTTTTGGCTTCACTGGCTTCCTTCAAATCCTAGCTAAAATTTCACCTTCTACAAGAAGCCTTTCTCTATTACCCTTAATGTCAAAGCCTTCCTTCTGTGATATTCTCCAATCTATCCTGTATCTTTTTTTTTTTATACTGGGTCTCCATATTTTGCCCGGGCTGGAAGTTCAGTATTCACTCATGGCCGAATCCCACCGCTGATCATCACAGAAGCTTTGACTTGCTCAGATTTTGATTTGGGTCAGTTTTTCTCTTCTTAAGCAATCTAGTGACCTCCATTCCTGGATTCTTACTCTATTGGTGTTGAACTTAGTGTGGATGCCCAATCATCTTTAGCCCTACTATAGTTCAACAATCCCAAGCTCAAGCAATCCATCAGCATCTGCCTCTCCTAAGAATTACAGATGTATGCCTCCATGCCCAGCTACCCTGTATATGGATATTGGATATATTTTGTTTGTATATAATTTGCATCGTCTCTTCCATTAGACTGTGAGCTCCTTAAAAGCAGGGACTATCTTTTGCTTTTTTTTTTTTTTTGTATCTCCAGCTCTTAGCCAGTACCTGACACATGGTAGGTACTTAATAAATGTTTATTTACTTGACTTGACATACGTAAGTTTAGAGATGAATAAAATGCTAAAGGTCCCTTATGGCAGAGCTAATGTTCTTAGTACGGCCAGAATAAAGTCAGGAAGTGCTAAATGAATGTTCTCTCAAGTTTATTTCTTCACCTTAATCCACCTGTTTGCTTCATTCTTCTCTCTTTGAAAAACATACATAAAATCAGTTCAGGGAGATATCAAGGACCTGACCTAGGGTGATAGCTATATAAATGGAGAGAATGGGGAATACCTATATATTTCTATCTGTCTACCTGTCTACTTATCTGTCTATCTATCTTTCATCAATATATCTAACTTTCTGAGATTTGAAAGTAAAAAAAAAAAGATTTGGCAACTGATTTTATAATGATACTAGAAAATTTGTTTCTCAGGTCTTAAAGAACAGTGAACAAAAATTTGCTCAGAACCATCTGTTTCATGAATTATTGCCCCACACCCATTTTGCTCTCATCTGCAACCTGAGGAATTTGGACTATGAGGTACTGTCTGGGGAGTAGCTGCACTGGGGTCCAGTTAGAGGTAGCAAGGACTGAAGGTGGAGGGCATTATTATTAGGGTAGGATATTGCCCCTTGTTGTTTCCCCATAGAAGACTGATTATTACATGCTGGTAGAGGACAGAGATCATAAGAATCTGAGGAAATTAAGTCACACTAGAGGTCCTAGGTTATGAGTAACATTGCTTTTCTTCCACTAACTCCTGGCTATGCTTTTGCTGATTTAAAAATCCATGGAATAGCACTCACAAAAAATAGAATCAACTTTGCCATTTCTTACTAACACCAGGTTTTTCTTCCAGTAATGCTATCACAATTAATTCTTTATTTTTTACCTAACCACATTGATCATTCTTTCTTGACTGCTACTTAGCACCATGAAATGTTCAGTCAACAAATACATATACTTTACGTGTGTGTGTGTGTGAGTGTGTGTGTGCATTGCAAATATTTGCAGTATGTATACACATACAATGGGGCAGGGAGGTGGTACGGTGGATAGAGTGCCAGACCTGGAGTCAAGAAGACTCATCTTCCTTAATTTTAAAAGCTGGCCTCAGACATTTACTAGTTGTGTGACCCTGGGCAAGTCACTTAAACCTGTTTGTCTCTGTTTCCTCATATGTAAAATGAGCTGGAGAAGGAAATGGCAAACCACTCAAGTATCTTTGCCAAGAAAACCCCAAATGGGATCACCAAGAGTCAGACATGACTGAAAAACAACTCAGCAATAATACATATACATTATATATGTATATGTCTAAGTATAGTCCAGTGTTATATAGATGTATATGATATGTGTACATATAGAGATATATGTATATATGATACATATATATATTTGTTGGTTGAACATTTCATTATAGATATGGATTTATAGAACACTCACTACATACAAGTTCATTTTCTCTTGTTTAATGGGGCTTACAATCTAGTAAGGGCAGTAAGACATGTATATGAGTGACTATTAATAAATACAAGGTAGGATATGAAAGTATAATAAGAGCAGCCCAAAGTACCAGGGGAGCTCAGAAGCCAGACAGATGTGATCTAAGAACATGATATAGTCTTTTACATACCTGATGGTGTAGTAGTGAAGTTTCTTGCATCTGCTTGTATAGAGAAATAAAATGTCATTTTTAAAAAAGCAAATACAAAGTGAAAGAGAAGCTAGAATTAATTCTGGAGGGCAGTGATGGGGGTATTATTTTTTTCTTTGGTTGTGCTTGGGGCAATATGACAAAAATCATCTTTTCTGGAGATATTCAGCAACTCAAATAGAGAAGGATGGATGAGAAGGTGGAAGGAGATGGAGTTAATTGTAGTTAGGGGCTTTTAGACACTATGGCATTTGAGTGAAACTTTAGAAATTGATTTCTTGACAGAGTAATGAATACCTGAACAGATGACGCCAGCATCTTCATGATGGCCACAGTTGTGGTTGGACCATCCAGAGTGGGAGCATTGGCCGAGATAGCCTTCAGTCCCAGCACACTGCATATTGTCCAAGAGGATGTTTCCCGAGCCTGGGCCGAAGTACGCTTCTCCAGGGGCTAACACAGCCTGTCCACACCCCAGCTGCCTGCATACCACCTCGGCCTCATTTAGATCCCACAGGTCGTCACACACTGTGCCCCAGACCTCTTTATAGTGGACTTCCACTCGTCCTGCACATCGTCCTGAACCACCCACCAGTCGCAGTTGTGGCCAGTCTTCTAAAGACAACAAAATTACTCATTGTGAGCCTATGGAAGGTACGATATCTGCTTTATTCTAGGAACAAGGATTACCTATGTGATATAGTGGGGAAAGGACTGGATGTGGAAACAGAAGGTCTGGATTTAAATGTTTCCAATGTTACTTACTTTTATCTTGGGAAAGTTAGTTACCTTACTCCTCTGGGACTTGGCTTCCCTGTCTTAAAAAGAGGGGATTGTGTTAAGAGATCTCTAAAGTCCCTTCCACTCTCATTGTGATGAGCCTAGTAGCCCGTGCCTGGAAGAGCTCAGTCCTGGAGGTGGGAAGTAACAGCTGTTGTGGTTGGGCCAGATGGGTAAGTACCTGCTATTTCTTGTACATTTGTATTACGGTCACTGGGGTCTTAGGTGACTAAACCTCCTGGTGCTTTCTTCTTCACAAGAGATCAGAATTTATGCATCCATGGCAAGGGTACCATCTTGTATGCAGAATACAATGCTGTTAGTAAGATACGCGCTTTGAATTGATTTATCAGCAGTGAGGATTCATTAAGGCTGAGCTACCTAGGTGATCTTTTATACATTCCCCTTGGTGATGAGTAACGTATTCATTCACTTAATAAACATTTTTTTTTTTTAGGCAATTGGGGTTAAGTGACTTGCCCAGGGTCACACAGCTAGTAAGTGTCAAGTGTTTGGTCGGAGGCTGGATTTGAACTCAGATCCTCCTGACTTCAGGGCCAGTGCTCTATCCACTGTGCCACCTAGCTGCCCCATCGATAAACATTGCTTAAGCACTTACTATGTGCTACGCTAAATGCTGAGGGATACAAAAAGAGGCAAAAAATAAGTTTCTGCCCTCAAGAAGCTTACAATATATTGCTGAGGCAACTGACTGAGTAAAGGGGTGTAGGCTGTGTGCGTGGGACAGAGTTTATTTCTGTGAGAAGTTGATTGGCTCATGTGTTTATCAAAACTGCAGTCTTTGGAATTCATGGCAACTTATTCTCACAAACTGAGTCAAACACTGTGTCTGTTAGCTGGGCTAAAAGTATTGAAATTACTAGAATGGAGAGTATTAGATATAACTAGCAATTCCTAGGACCAAGTTAAGTACAGGGTTTTTGGAGGAGTTGGGGTGAGACTTCAGATTTAAAGAATACAAAGTCCAGTGGTAAGAGAGACCCTGAAGGGGGAGACAAAGACCTCAGGACACTGGTTGTTGGAGACCTCTGCACAATCCTGCTGTGGAAGCCATAGCCAGGGGTAAGAGTGGTTCACATGGTAACTTCCTAGTTTAATTATTCTTTTTAACATTCGCTTAGCTCAATTGTGCCCACTTGTTAAAGGAGGACAGGTGCTGTCAGCATCCTCTAAATTTTGGCATTCTGGGATAATTCTCTCAGCTTTGGCTTCGGAACAAGGTAATTATTCTGTATCTAGAGCTTTGGATTCACCAAGGTCTTTTCATATGTATTTTGCCCCAAAGTATCATGCATAAAAGATATTTAGGTATATTTAGATATATTAAGTATTTTGTTGAACCCCAAACTTTCTGGTCACTGAAGTAGTGTCTTACTAATGGCATATTAGAAGTCTGAAAGAGCTTTGGGAGTTTTCAAGAATGCTTAATTAAACCAAAGAGTAGCCAAAATGTTTTTTGAACTGAATTAAATTGAATTAGGTGCTGCAAGAGCATAGAACTTGGAATAATATCAAGATATGTCATGTTACCTGTTTCTGAAACTTAATTTTAGACATACCTGGATTGGTGTCATTTGAAACTTCAGCATCTGTTTATATAAAAGAATAAAAAGTGTCTGTCAATATTTTTAGGAAATTGTAATTAAAAAGATAACAGAGGTTTGGGACTGTCTCTTTCAAAGTATTTACTAAGCCAACCTATACATGATATTTCCTTCAGCATAAGATAGGCCATGGGTGAAATAAGAAAGTAATAATTTACTAAAAGGTAACTTAAAGATATAGTGTTATCAACATAGCTTCCATGATGTTTCCTTCAAAGTATTGTTTAAATACCTTGGAAAAAGAGGTAATGTGGTATAATATATAGAATGCTGGATTTGGAATCAAGAAGACCTGAATTCAAATTTCTTTTCTGAAGCTTAGTAGCTGTGTAATCCTGGGTATAACACTTAACTTTTATGTTCCTCAGGAAAACTCAGGACCTACCTACTAAACCATAGACAAGTTTAGATCTTCAGAGATGGAAGGAATTCCACCACTAGAAGCTCCTCACTCTGCTAACATCTCAGATCCCTTACATTTTTACACATTACTTAATCACTGGGAATATCTAGCTTCTCTCATGTAACCACCAAGGTCTTTATTTAACTGTTTCAATCATTTTTCCCATAATGTTTTCAGTGTAATTTAGGAATATTTGAGTACTTTATACATATATCAATTGTCAGTAAATCTATATTTACAAACTCAAGTGCTTTATTACATATGAGTGTCTAGTGCCTGAAATATTATTTCCAGGTTAGAATAACTCAAATAAAATTTCATGTCAATATTTCTTCATTATTCTATTTGCCTTTGTCACCTTTTTGGGATGTCAATATAATTGGTCCAGAGGGGATATAATAAAGGAAGTGATTTTTGAGAGATGAAGGTGTACCTGAGCAGATAACACTGGCATCTTCATGGTGACCACAATTGTGTTCAGACCAACCAGAGTGGGAGCATTGCCCAAGGTAACGTTCAACTCCTGCACACTGCATGTTGTCCAGGAGAATTTCGCCTGAGCCTGGGCCAAAATGAGCCTTTCTTGGGGCAGAGACAGCCTGTCCACACTTGAGCTGTCTGCATACCACCTCTGCTTCGTTAAGATCCCACAGGTCATCACAGACGGTACCCCAGTTTCCTTGGTAAAGGACTTCAACTCTTCCTGCACATCTCCCAGGACCACCAGCTAGCTTCAGTTCTGGCCAGTCTCCTAAAGAAAGACACATTTGACTATTAACTATGAAACACAATGACTCCCTCTCTCTCAGTCAATAGCTAGGAATCCTGAAATACTATTATCTTTTAAAAATAGTTGGAGTTAAGTTCCAAATCTTGAAATCAAGTTTATCTTCCTTGAAAAATTGAGGTTGACTGTCTACTTTGCTTTAAGTCACCAGTTAACACTATTTTATTTCATTAGTTAATCTACTTCTCCAAGTGATTCAATTCGGATGATATGGAGGTACTAATTTGCAGTGGTCCCTAGAATGCTACTTAGGATTTTTTGGTGAAATAAATAAATAATCATTTAAATGAGGTAGGTTGAACCAGTAGAATCTATTGAATATCAACTTCAGAATTTTATCATGCTCAAAGTGTCCAAACCCAACATGGGACATTTTTTTCATGGCCGAGAATAAGAGACAATAGGCATAGCTTGAGTGATACACTATTTTCTTTCAAATATTAAATGAACAAAAGAAAGTTACTCTACAGAGGCACCAACAAGCAGAGGTTATCGGAGAGCTAACCTTCAAGCCTCCATGAGGACTCTATAAAGGGAGAAAAGGATTTCCAGTAACCAAGAGTTGTGAGTTACCCCTTTGTCATACACATCCTCTTTATGTGTGCCTTCCTATTGTACTTCAAGTTGTTTGTGACCATCCTCCCAATAGTTCTTGTGGTTATTTGGAAGAGAGTGTGCCCCAGATCCTTGGGGGCATATTTCTATAGCAATTGTTCATAACATACATGCTTAGTATAAATGGCATCCCTTTCTAAAAGCTAAGGGGAAACAAGGGAAACCAAACGGAGGCTCGTGAGCAACATTACTAGAAAAATAATAACCTCCAGGACTCTAAAGAGAGGAGCAAGTCAGCCACTCATCATCATCATCATCATCATCATCATCATCATCAACCTATTTGAAGTCATAGCCAACATTCCTAATGGTTTTGAATGATTCTGACTATGCCAGTGTATTTGGGCAGAATCAACTGGGCATTGTCTAGGTAGACACATCAATCTGCAAATGGTACAGATTCGGTGTAGACCCAACCATTGGGTAGAAAGTTATTAAGCCAAAGGAGGTGTTCATATTTACCTGGTCTTGCTGTAATTATCCTGGGTGTTGTTGGAATGGCTGGGGACACAAGAACCCCCCCCCAAATCCCAAAACAAAATGAGACTTTTAAAAAATTAAATGTCAGTTCTTCTAAAATTATTATCTAATTGTACTGCCCCAATATGATAGATAAATAGATAGGTAGATATATATATATATATATATATATATATATATATATATATAGGTAGATAGATAAATAGATAGAAAGAGCATGTTTTAAGCACTTTCTATGTGCTAAGTATTGTGCTAAGTACAAACCTTACCCTCTTGGAGTTTACATTCTAATGGAAGAATAACTACACATAAAGGGGATCTGGAAAGCAGTGGATGGAGAACGAAAAATCCAGAGAGTGAGTTGAGCCAAGAGTGAAGAGAGTATAGCTGAGGCCCAGCTATAAAAGGGAGTCCTATATAGACAATCATCGATCTAGAGAATAGGACATTAGGGAAGAGGTTTCATAACAATGGGAAGGCAATTAAAAAGAAGTTGAGAAAAAAGTTTGAAAACTGAATAAAGTTAGGAGTGAATTGAGCATGGTTGGACATTATCTAGGGATAGTGGTCCAGAACAGGGAGTCATTGTTAATCAAAACTAAGTTTGCTTCTTTGCAACTTTCATACATTGCTCTAGGGTCTGCCATCATTTTGAACATAGTTAGTTCCAACTTCATGTGTTTGGAAGCCAGTAGGATTTATTTGTCCTCTACTCTTCCTAGCCATTTAATAAATTAACAAATTTTAATCATTGTCATTCTGTGTTTAAAACAAAATGTAGAATAATAATGTGATAAGAACACTGGATTTGGAGTCAGAAGACAGAGCTATAGTCGGTAATTTTGGCAGCCTGCACAAGAGCCACAAAACAACATATGGGACAAATAATAAGCCGAATTCAATTGTAGGATGAAAAGAACTTGGACCTCAGCACCTGAGGCCCTGTGGAGTCCTTTCAGTGGAAAGACACAAGTCCTGAGATACTAGTTCCTTTAGGCAGAGGTCTCAGGGTGTAGAGAGACTGCTGTTGAGAAGGCAGCTGCCTGGGGAGGGACTAAGGTAGTGCTTCATCTGTAAGACTGGAGTCTTGAATCAGATATCTCTAAGATTCTTCCTAGTGCTAAATGTATGATCATAAAATTTTAGAATTGTAAGGGGCATGAGAGATCACATAGCCTAATCTCCTCGTTATACAGATGAGGAAACAGAATCCTAGGAACAGAAATATTCAAAATCCATGTCTTGTTGATGAACTCAAACAACTATTTTCTTCTGATTCATAGGAATTGCTTTCATTTACTGTTCTCAATGTACATATATGGGTATTTTGATAAATGGTCTCTCTTCTTTGACAGAACATTGAATTATTAATTTCAATTACCATTAGATTATTAATCACTATGATTGTAATACACAAATAGTTTAAAAGTAAAACCTCACAATTTAAAGCTGTCTAAATCACAACATGGTTATAGTTAGGCAATTACACTTATAAAAACATGTACAGAAATATCTAATATCTCTAAATTAGGGTTGATAGAAGAAAATAGAAAGTGATTACTGAATGAAATATATTATTAATACTCATTAAACCATAAGGTAAGAATATAATATAATAAAGAATATAATTTATAAAAAAGTAAATATAAAATGGAATATGACTCACTTATTACAAATGGTGTCTTGGAAACAGTTTCTGTAAGTACAAGAAAAGAATTATATGGCAATCACCGTGAGGCTGCAGTACTATTAACATTGGTAACATTTACAAACATATTTTGATGACATTATACATTAGGGAAAGGGCCTGGACCTGCAATTTCACTACTATAGAGATGTCCCAGGTGAGGAGACTCTCCCCACCAGTGCAGGTTAGCAACTTTCCTTTTTGCAACATATAGATTTTAGAGAGTTGCCAGTGGTACTAAGAGTTTAAATGACTTGCCCCAGGGTTGCAAAACCAGTATGTCAGAGGCAGGGGCCAACCCTTTTATCTATTATGCCATGCTGCCTTTTCCTATCATCAATTGCACATTTTAAAACATAAGGAAGTAAAAGCAAAATAGATGTTTTTTTTCAAAACGACATACATTTCTAATTTCACACAGGACAGGATTCAAGAAAAAGTACAAAACATATTTGGGCCAGTCCCTAGCCCCCAGGAAAAAGAAAATCTTAATCTTTCCAGATTGGTAGCTGTATATAGATATAACTATCTAATCAAGTTGCTTTAAGGAAAACTTTTTGTAAGTTGTAGATTATCATATAAATGTGAGTTATTATTATTATTATTATTATTATTAGCAGGAGGAGGAGCAGTAAGAGAAGGAATAGGAGTAAATCTCATCCTGCTTTTGTTTCCCCTACTAGCACCTGGTACAGAATTACATCCAGAGTAGGATGTCAATATTTGCTTCTTAACTGAGTGTAAAAGAGTTTGTTGCTGTGAAGTTGGACATTGTGTCGTTTGTTTTTAAATTCTTACCTTTCGCCACAGAATAATAATAAGCAACAAAGTTCTTTCCTATGTTGTTGTTACCGCGGTAGTACACAAGCGTCATTGAGTTAGAAGAAGAAGAGAATTTGAGATAGATCCCATTACAAATCCTCCCCAGGGAAGAAGAAAATCGATCTCCATCCAGGATTTCAAAATATTCATTAGTGCAGTCCAGGCTGTGGAAGCAAATTCACATTGTCCGTAATTAGAGAACCACACAAATGTTGTGTGGATTCTAGGTACTTTGTTTTTAAACATGATAGTTTCTATTGAATCACATGGGCAGAGATAAGCCCTGACATTTAAATGGCACATTAAGATTTGCAGGCACTTTACATATATTTTCTCGTTTGAGTCTCACACAGCCCTGAAAAATAGATATTACTCCCACTTTACGGATGAGTCAACTGAGGATCAGAGAAGATACATGAGTGAAAGGCAGCATAAAATGGTAGGATGAGTACTGGATTGGTATTCAGAGGGAACTGTGGGGTTCCTGCCTCTGTCATTTACTACCTGTGTGACCATGCGTAAGTCATTTAACCTCCCCAAACTTTAGTTTCTTGTAAAATAGTGATGATAATAATTGACCCTGTTTCTCAGATTTGTTGTGAGGATCAAATGACTTAAGACAGTGTTTAAATGTGAGCTGTTATTATTGTGTGACTTGCCTTTGGTAGCACAGATAGTAAGTGAGGACTGGGACAGGAATCCTAGGTATTAGGTAGGGGGTGATAAAAGCGAGATGGGAATATTCTAAGGACAAATTTCACTTATTTCTGAATTTTGCTTATGCCCAACCCTGTACCAGAAAAGGGAAAGCAAACATTTTCTTCTTCCTTCTTTTCCTTCCTACAACACATGCTCATACCCTTCCCTACTTCCAGGACTCAGAACTCAGGATAGTATTCTTAAAACCAGAGTTCAACGATATTGTGGTTAAATAGGCTTCTGTGGGCTGGCCTGGGAGCCTAACTCCTTATCATACTATTATTTCAATGGGCAAAGGCATCAGAATTCTAAACAATCAGAACTAACATATTAACTTTTGGAATAAAAACTATTCATAAATGAGAGACTACTTATATTTGCCAGATGGGTTTTGTAGAAGTGGTATGGCTCTGCTAATTGCTATTACCAGAGCTATAACAAATAATTTTTGCAGCTGGTCCAAGTTTCACAAAATGTGTCTAGGGTGAATACTCAAATTGAACCATCAAAACAACTCTAAGATAAATGAAGTTTGATGGAAGAGAGGAGGAGAGAACCCAAGGACACTGCATGTCCATTGCTGAGGAGACCACAGTGGGGCCAGGGGGAGCATAGTAGGGTCAGACTGGGGAGGAAGTCACTAGGGGGTTAGCCATAGCAGACAGTGGGCACACTGTTTGATAATTTCCTAACTTGGTGCTAAACTCAGTTGTTTCTACACTGCAGTAATACAGGTGCTCTCTAAAGCCATCTAAATTTCAGCGCCCTGAGGTAAAGTCCTAATTTGCCTCCCCTAGATATAGGGGACTAATTGTAACTTCATTATGAAGTCTTTGTAGAATCCATGAAAAGTTCTACAATGAAAATTTCTGTATGAAAAAATAAAATCTAAGTCCTAGTCAATTGACTACCTATACAAAATAGAATTTTGACTCAACACTATTCTGGTAAAAATAATAATGATTATAGTTAGTACTTTGGACAGCATCTCATCATGAAACTTTTTATAATTAAAAATAAAATGAACTGAAACATATGGGATGGATTTCATTTTAAATGGAAATGTAGAAGGATATTTTATTCTCCTTTGTCAAGGAGGAACTCCAGAGATTTAATGATTGGAATTATAAAAGCTAGAGCAATAATATGCTGTTAGCGTACTTTATACTTACTTAAGATAAGGAAATGCCAGCATTATGTGATCAGGTGAATTGGCCTTTATTTCCCAAATGCATGTTATGTTGTTGTGCATTTCATTTTGAGGAGGGTTTCTAATTGCCCCAGATGTATTTGAGACAATGCCACCACAGGAAGATTTTCCTGAATGTAGAAGGAAGACATTTTAAAAGTTATTTTTTGTTTTTATTATCAATTGACTATCACTGTCTTCTTTCAAGGTTCATCTCAGGTGTTGCCTACTATAGAAAACTTCTGATAACTTTCACTTCCAGGTCTCAATGCTCTCTCCCTCCTCAAATTCTCTTCTATTGGCTACTTTCCCAATTGAATGTAAGTTTCTTGAGGGCAGGGACTGTTTTTGTCTTTGTATCCCCAGAACCTATTCAGTACCTGGCAAACATAGTAGACACTAAATACATATTTTTAATTGAATTGAACCATAAGTGCTGTAGCCAATTTCCTCTTTGTTGTTCTTGTTTATCATAGACTTTAAGTTGCTTTTCTAGTACTGACAACATGGCAACATAGTACAGAGATGCCAAAGACATGGCCAGTCCCCCATGGGACTATATGAAAAAATAAAATAAAAAGTCAATTAATTGCCTGCCTATATGAAACAGGCAACACTCCTAAGTGCTGCTGGAATGAGATTACAATGCAATTGGAAAATAGTTAAGACAATAAATAAAAATACAACAGAACATAGATAATGTTAATAGGTAGTTTTCTAAGTCAATATGGCAGGGATCATTCAGTGGCCCCCATTTCTATCTGAGTTTGACATCACTTTCAAAGGCTCTACTTAGAGTGAGGAAAGAGCTGAATTAAAATCCTGTCCCTTATACTTACTAGTGATATCACCATGGAAGTCAGTTACCTTCTCTAAAACTTAGTTTCCTCATGTGTAAAGAGGGAGGGAGGTAATTATAGTACTTATTTCACAGGGTTGGCATGAAGTGCCAACGAGTTCTAGTAGTGGATCTCCTGTGCTATCTACACTCTCATCTCTCCTCTTCCTCCCTAAGATAATAAGACTTATATTTGTAGGGTGCCTTGTGGTGACAAAGTTTTTTCACATTTATCATGCCACTTGATCCTTACAGAAACTCTTGGGGAGAGGGGAGTGGTAGAATAGGTACTATCATTTTACAGATTAATAAACTGAGACAGATTCTTGTCTCACCGAGATGCCTAAAGGTGGACGAAAGGCAAACTTCATTTACCTTACAACAAGCAATAAATACACTGTCTGCCATTGAATTGGTCTTTAACCATTTGTACTTGATCTCCATCAAGATTTCCAAGAAGTGACGATTATTGATTACTTGTTCTTCCTGATCTTATTAACTAATAATAGTAATAGATGACATTTATAGAGTACCATAGCACAGTGCCTGGCACATAGTAGGTACTGCATAAATACTTATGGACTGACTGCCTTAAGGCAAACAAAGTGTTGTACAAATATTATCTTATTTGATCATCACAACAACTTTGTGAGGTAGGTAGGTGCTGTTAATATCCACCTTTTACAAATGAGGAAACTGAGGCTCAAGAGTTTAAGTGGCTTGCTCAGTATCACACAGCTAGTAAGCATCTCGTGTGGAACTTTAACCCAGGTGTTGCTGTCTGTGGGTCCAGTGTACTAGCCACCACATCATTGCCCCTCACTGGCCCTACCAGTGAACTGGTAGGGCTGTAAAGTATGAAACAGCTTTTGGTTAGTAAAACCTATGCTTAGAATCAAGATTTAAGTGAGCATTTTGGTTGGAAAGGATGTTTCCCTAACTACCAGTTGTTCTCTTAGAAGATTCCTTTACTTATTTTCTCTAGAACTTCAGCTAGATGATGATAAAACATGTTAAATAAGTGAAATATACACCACTAAGTAGCACACAGTTGGTAGGAAGCTCACCATTTATCACTGCAGGAACAGGGGGTGGAAGATCTATCAAAGTAAGCAGAAAGAAAAAAGGTAGTCAACAATTAACTAAACAGGCACTTTGCAGACTTTGGTGCATTATATTCCTTCATATCATGAAATACAAAGGAAATTAAAGAAGTGAAATTCTGGTTCATGCTAGCATTCCTAGAGGAGCTGAGACTCAAGGAGGCATGATCACAGGGTCATAGATTTAGGCTTACAGGGACCTTAGAGGTGGTTTTTGTGTGGGTTCCTTGTAAAGACTTTGGTCTCCTGGATGATATCACTCAGGAAAGAACTCATTCATTGGCAGACCACTCTCAAGGTCTCTCTGAAGAACTTTGGAGGAGATTGTGTGACATGGGAGATACTGGCACAGGACCACGCAGCATGACGTGCCTGCAGCAGAGACGGTGCTGTATTCGATGAGCAAAACAGGATTGCAGTAGCTCAAAAGAAACATGAAATGTGCAAATTTAGACATCTCCACCCCCGATGTTCATGTGGACTATTTGTGCCTGACCTGTGATAGAGCTTTCCAAGCTCATATTGGCCTGAGCAGCCACAGTTGGACACACTGTAACTTGACCCCAATAGAGTGATGTCATTTTGGTCCTCTTCGAGAACGAAGGACAGCAACCAACCAAGTGGTCATCTAAATGTGCGAAAATATCTCCTTTCTTTATTTCAGTCTTCCCCCTCAAAAGCCCTTCTGCTGTTCATACAACTTGAAATTAATCATTTGAGACATTCCTTTGGATTGACTCAGTGCTGCCTCCAGGCTTCTTCTTTTTAAAATAGATATTCTTGGAAGGTTTTACATATATATATATGTGTGTGTGTGTGTATGTATATATATTTATTTATATATGCATGTATGTATGTGTATGTATGTGTATGTGTGTATTTGCATATATGTATATATGACATATTACACTATTAACACAGAATATTAGAGATGGAAGTGATCTCAGCATCTGTCTATACCAAACCCTACACTATTTTATTGTGAATCTATCATTTTCAAGCTGATACCTAGTTGAGATAAGAGCGGTGGGGGAGTAGGAGTTTTGCTTGGAAGAATGAAGGGTTTGGAGCATGGGATATGGGGGGGGGTGGGGACTGCCTGGCAGGAGTGGACCTTGTTGTAATGACACAGTGTGTTGCATTGGGAAGTCAAGAAGCACTGGACAGATGTACATAAGAGGGATAGGAGATACCATTAAAGTCCCAATTATAATTCTGACTTCACCACTTACTACGTGAACTTAGACAAGACTTACTTTCCCCAGACCTGAAGTTGCCTGGTCTACAAAATGAGGGGATTGGATTAAACAATCTTGAGTCCCTTCCAGGTCTCACATACTGATAATATAACTTGAAGATAAATTTTGTTTATTTCACAAATGGCCCCAGGGCTGGCCTTATAGTCACTGGTCTGCACTTTTAATAAATATATTGTCACCTCGTTATATTTTACATTTTCATCACACTATATGTTTCAGAGGTTTAGAGTAGGCATGTAGTACAAAGGATAGAGTCTGGGACTTGAAGTCAGGAACAAGTGGGTTCAAATCCAGCCTCAAACACTCAACTAGCTGGGCAAGTGAAGATCCTGGGAAAGTCATCTAACTTCTGTCTGTCTGTGTTTCCTCACTTATAAAAGGGGAATAATGGTAGTAGCTGCCTCCCACAGTTGTCGTGAGGATAAAATGAGCTAATATTTTTAAAGCACTTTATAAACCTTGAAGTGTTATATAAATTCTAGCCATTACTGGCCATCATGTACACTTTCTCATTTGGTCCTCACAAATGTTGTATGAGGTCACCAAGGTATGTCAGATATTCTCCACATGTTACACGCAAAGATCATAGAGGTCAAGATGATTTCCTCAAGTTCATACAGTTAGTGCTTGATAAGTGAGGACTCAAACCAAAGATTTTAGACTCGAAGTCCAGGGCTCTTTTTATCATAGCATGTGGACTTATTTCACAACCCGCTGAGCCAAAGCTCAGAATCCCCAATGACAGGAATGCTCCAAATACCTTCCACAAAATGATATTTTGCTTTTAGATGCATTTACCCAGGAATATTTTATTTTTTTGACATCCTAGAAATACATTGCCATTAAAATGAAATAATGAATGACAGGGGAAACTGGAAAACTTTTCTACTTCTTCCTATTATTTCCTTTTATCACTTCTTTAAACCACTGTGTTCTTATTTGTAAAATGAGGGACTTTGACTGGATGACTAGCTCTGAAATATTTTGACTATGAACTGAGAAAATAGCAATGCATCATGGATGCTAGGAAAGTTCAATAAAGATAAGACTCAGCATCGCCCACCATAATTCCACAATAATAAGACTAGGTTTTGGTGTATATAGACATATATACATATATATACACATACATGTGTATTATGCATGTCTGAATATACACACATACATAAATATATACATATATGACTATATATGCATGTAGATAGACAGAGACAGATAGACAGACAGACAGATAGATGATGGAGAGAGAGAGAAAGAGAGACAAACGGATGGATGGATGGATGGATGGATGGATAGATGATGGAGAGAGACAGAGAGAGGAGATGGGGGGGATGAAGAGAGTCAATTCTTATGCAGCTTTAGTCTTAGAGAATTTCCTAGACCTCTGACTGAGAGTTTAAGTGACTCGTCCAGTGTTACACAGCCAGGATGTGTCAGTGGCAGGACCAGAATCAGTTATTCTAATTCTGAGGCTGGCTTTCTCTATAACACCACACAGTCTCAGGACTCTCCTTCCTCTACCCGCCCCCCCCCCCACCCCTGCCCCACTTCTTTTTCCTCAGCTGTTCTCCTTCCCCTCTGTTTTCCTCTACTACATGAGTAAGCATTTAAGCATTTTTTTCTTTCCTTACCTGCTAGGACAACTGATGAATTTTCAGCATCTAGAGACATTGAGAGAAATCAGAATACCAGGTATTAGTCAATGACTAGGAATGTTCTTATGTTTTCAACTAATTATTAGACTACTGTCCATTTGAAAAGATAGACTATTGAGAAGGAGTTTTAGAAGTTACCTGAACAGATGACACTGGCATCTTCTCCATGGCCACAGTTGTGGGAAAGCCAGCCTGCATGGGAACACTGTTCGAGATAATTTTCATCTCCCTTACAGTGCACATTGTCCAGATGAATTTTCCCAGATCCTTGCCCAAAATGGGCCTCGCTTGGGGCTGAAATGGCCCAGCCACATCCTAGTTGCCTGCACACAATATTTGCTTGTTTCATATCCCAGAGATCATCACACACAGTCCCCCATTCTCCTTGGTAATAAACTTCAACTCTTCCCAAACATCTTCCACTACCTCCTACTAGCCGCACTGGTGCCCATTCTCCTGAATACAAAGAACGCAAAATGTTAGCTTTTGATTTAACTTTCCAGGCACATCAACATGCATCCTTCCTTCTATTAATGGGGCTCCTTCCTCTCTTTCTCAATAACCTATCTCTCCAGTCTTATCTTTCTACTCTCATTCCCTGATATTATATACTCCCCCCCGTCTACATACATACAGAGCTCCTTCATTCTATGTGTATAAAACACAACTGAGTTCTCTTGAGAAATCATATGGAAATGCTGAACTATGCTGGCAGCTGATTTTTTTTTGTTAACTGCTCAACTTACCTCTAGACATCAGGCTCTACCCCCAGGATAGTTTAAAATGCTAACTCATCTAAAAATGACTTTAGGGTATTATAATTAATCCAGTCCTCATGAAAAAATAGCCCTGTGGTTGAAGTTAGGTCCATTAGAGGCATCTCGATGCTGCAAATGATAGAACGCTGGGCCTGGAGTCACTAGCTATATGACCCTGGGCAAGTCATTCAGTTTCTCCAATTATAAAATGGGAGTAATAGTAGCACTTACCTCACAGGATTGTTGTAGATCAAATGAGATATTATTTATAAAATGCTTAACACAATGCCTGGCACATAATAGGCACTTAATAAATACTTCTCTCTCACCCCCCCTTATAAAAAAGTGACAGCAGTATTTAATAACAAATGACTGGGATCTAATTGAATCAAGTGGGATTATTTAGGGAAAGCAGAATGTAATATTTCATTTTGTAGCTGAGTAAAATCCTCAGCCTAAGACCCAAATCTTGCCAAATATTCCATAGGGTTGTCAGCAAGTGTTAACAAACAATTAACTGAAGAATGATGTTGCAGCCTAGAAGTTCCTTCTAAAGAGAAGCACTAGCGATGATCATTAAGAAAATGATTTCCACCTTCTCATCTCCTCTTGCATCTGTATGAGAGATTTCACCACTCACATTACAACCATCTTATCCCAGACCCTTACTGCTTATCACCTTTATAATAATCTCACTGATTTCCTTTCATCTAGTGTCTCTCTCTGCTTATAATCCATCACCCACAAGATTCCAAATTGATATTCTCAAAGGATAGATCTGACCCTGTCATCCCACTGCTGAAAAACTTCAGTGGCTCCCTATTTTCTTTAGCATTGTAAATGTGGGACTGGCCAATGATGTCCCAGTCCTTAAAATATACTCGGATTTGCTGATCCTGGTGGGCTATACAGAAAATGCAAAATATTGCTTGATTTCAATTTTACATGTCAATTTAGTGAACCTACTTCCAACCATGAGTGACTGGGAGGTTGGTGCCATGTGGTGATGGGGAGGCTTCTAATTGGTTGAGGACCTAGAAGGCCTGATAACTAAGGAAACCCAAAGTCAGAACTAAGTTTGAATATTAAAAAATCATATGCCTCTCTTTTGCCACTCTTTGTGCTTTTCTTTCTATTATGGAACAAAGCAAGAATTACTATGAGCTGCTGGGTCAGGGGAGGGGCCCTAAATTCATTATCTACAACCTAGCCTCCATTTTTTTCATGAACTCATGGTGCTTTTATTTCTTTCATGCTTATTTTTTCTGATTTCCTGATCTGAGGAGGACAAATATTTTGCAATGGGAAAGCCAGTTGACTAGTGAGACCTGGTGATTCATCAAAACAGTCCTGAGGACCCACCAGTTACTAGAATCAGTAACCATAAATGAAACATCCACCAGAGCAGTGGCAACCTTGGAAGCATTGAGAGAGGGAGTGGGGGGAGAGAGAGAGAAAGAGGCAGAGAGACAGAGAGAGATAGAGACACAGAGAGAAAGTCTTTATGGATAAATAGATGAAGAGTGAGAGGAAGATGTTCACTGGTGCTGCCATTCCCTGAGAGTAGCCAGTTCGGCTGAGCAAGGGAGGACCTTATCCATCATCAAGGTCATACCCAGAAGCAAACCGTGGAGACTCTGTGAAGGGAGAAAATTACTTCCAGGGCCAGAAATCAGGAGGTACATCTTTTTCTCTACACATGTGCTTCATTCCCGTTATACTTTAAGTCTGAACTCTAACTTGCCAGGGACTTTGTGTGTATGCAAAGGGAGGATGAATCCTCTGGTTTGGGCAGATGGTTTTGTAGCTACTCTTTACTATTTCTCAGTAAATATCCTTTCATAAAAGCTAATAGAGTTCTATTGGTTGATTGATATTGGGGGGATATGCCATATAGGGATTTGTGGCCAACAGTGCCAGAAGGCCTAGCTCCTTTGGGTTAGGAGAGGAAATCATTTACATCTAGGTAACTTAAACTGTTAGTCCAGTGTGGGTTGGGAGAGAGCCCAGAGCTGGTGCTACAGAATAAAATGCAAACTTCTCCATTTGGCATTGGAAGCCTTTCACAGTCTGGTTCTAGCTTATCTTTTCAGGTTTATTATCCCTCACACACTACACAAACAAACCATAATGCTCTACCTACCATAGGCCATTACAACATTCCATCTCCAGCTTCTGTGCTTTTTGCACAGCCTGAAATCTGGGCAATGGACAATCTTTATCTATGATCAGACCACTGCCTTTAAGTGATTATGGAGTCTCTGCAATTCTTCTGGGGCTTGATGGAATTAGCACGATATCATGCACAAATTTAACGTCTGCAAGACCTCACCATCACCACTTAGATTCTCTGCTTGATCACCTCCATAAAAATGGCACAAACCTACATCTCCATAATGTATGTTTTGCCAATTTTTTTCTTATCATTTGGTAGTCACGATTGGATCTTATATTCTCTGCATCTTTTAGTTAATTGTGAACTGTTAAGGTTTCACTTCCTGGTCATCTCCACATTATGCCAACTGATGTCTGGTCATCATCCTCATCTCCCATTCCTCTTTCCTGCCTCCTGATCCCTGGACCTGGTACTCTGCTATTGGGACCCTGGTCTCTTATAAGTGAGCTATTGGCTTATCTTGCCTGGAACCAGATTTCTACACCACTTTCTGACACTGCACACTATGCCTGCATTCTGCAGGCATTATCCTTATCTTTCTTCCCTCCTCCCAACCCCCATCCCAGAATCTTAGATTCTGCCCCTGGGATACTAGACTCTGATAGGTGAGCTTTCAATTTATTTTGACTGGAGGTGGGCTTCTAGGCCATTTTCTGAGTATCTGTAAACCAAACGGCCACAGACTCACCCCTTTCTCCTTTCTTGTTCCTTTTATTTTATTTGTTGTCTTTACCCATTAGAATCTAAGTTTCTATAGGGCAGAGTCTATCTTACTTGTGTGGTTTGTATCCTTAGCACTTAGCACAGTGTATAGTATATTATAAATATATTGAATAAATCCTCTATGTATTCTCTCTCTCTCTCTCTCTCTCTCTCTCTCTCTCTCTCTCTCTCTCT